TGTTTTACATTTTCCTGCAATTTCAAATATTAGCATAAAATAATATTTGAAATACAAAATATTATATAAAAATTTTGTAATATAAGAAATTAATTATTAGTAATAAGTTCCAAAAAAATATAAAAATAAATTCTTTTGTAAATCTTTTTTTAACAAATATACACATTTTTAACGAATCGACGCCTTTGTGAAAGAAAGTTGCAAGCAGAGTTACAGAAAAATAAACAATTCTCAATGATATCCGCTTCTGTTTCCATATAGTGGCATACAGACGTACACACATACCCCAAAGCAATCAGCAATTGAGGCAGCTATCTAGCATTTTACTTGGCGCTCAATAAGTATTGATTTCAAATACCTCAGAAAACTACTCGCTTTCACGTGCCTACTTATCTGCTTTACCGTAATCTGTGCTAAGTGCAAGTATTCACGTCGCTACCTAAGCCTTAAAAGGCAGATACCCACATACATTAGGAGACACATACATGCCGCAACCACACACATGCACACAAACGCTATTATGCCTACTCCAATATACTGTCGTGCTCATTCACTTAACAACTTGTCAACTAGGCGCTGCAATATACCCAACTAACCATGTGCACACACACATAAGTGCTGAGTTATTTATCCAACTGTTGACCCCACTGCCGCAAGTGAACATGTTCAGCTGAATTTTTTACATTGTTGACGAGTATCTGCAGCAGCGAGAGTTTGATAGAAGAGAATTCACGTACAAAGCAAAAAGTTGGCAACAAATGCATATGTACATGTGTGTGTGTGTGTGTGCATGTAAGTGACATAAAAATCACGGCAACAATAAAGCAAAAATTGACAGACATGCAACTGAAGACATATGACACCTTCAACATGCGACATGCAACTGGGCTGCGGCCGTGACAAGGTTTGGCGTGTACGAGTTTTTCCCCAACAGCACCAACAACCATATACTAACTTACTGCCAACAACGTTACAATAGCAAAAAACCATATATTGTATATTAACAAAAACAAAAACATTAGCAAGCAATTTTCCAACATCTACATTCGCGTGTTGCAAGTTGCTCGACACGACTGTGCTACGCGGGCCGCGGCAATTGGCAGCGGCGACAACTTTTTGCCGCGCACGTAGCATACTTGCAGGCAGGTGTGCTGGTGTTGCTTGGTGGGTGTGTCGTCGAGCAACTTTTTCTCAATTACGCGCGCACACACACGCAAGTACCTACGCCTGTGTGTGTGTTTGAGGGCGTCACAGTCGTTGGTTCGTGTGGCAGAATGTAAGTGTATATATGCATGTGTGTGTGTGTGGCTGCGTGTTTAACGCGCGCGAAACTAAAAATTATTTGCAATGTTGACGCTTTGACGCTTTTGACATTTGCTTTTGCTGCAATTTTGATTTGTCGTCGATTTCATTTCGCCATGCGCGTCACCAGCTACACTAGCAATCAATGTACAACTACAAAGAACTGTAAAAAACAAATCATTTTCAATTGTCATTGCGCTGACAGTTCCATTTACTGGTGAATAGCAGCGCAACAATTTTATTTTGTTAGAAATCAGCTTTGATTGCTTGCCACGTGAATTAAGTTGGTGAGTTGTTGAATGGCGAAAGAATCGATTGAGCAAAACCGATTACAAGTGTGGAAAATAAAAATATGTCATAATAACTGTATATTTCGGATATGAGAAATAATAGCGAAATAATGGCGTTTGGAAACTTTTGTAGCTTTTATAAGTTTATTCTTTTCGGCGATAATGGAAATAAAGTTGCATATATTGCATTATTTCAACAGCGCGAGTTCACAATTTAAGTTAGTTGTGAAGTTTGGAATCGCTAGTGCAATCAAAGCCACCTTTTTGATAAATTCTTTCAGTTCTCTTGGTGTGTGCCGCTATCTGCAGACACCGAAACGCATTTTTTTTTTTTTTGCCATTGAAGCTTACACAGTTATCTTTTAGGTGGAAATAGTTGCGTTTTTACCTTGGTATATTAAAAAGTTTGCTTGACATTATAAACAAGCTACATTTTTACTTCGGTATTATTCCGAAGCAATAATACCCTTCACATATAGCAATCTTCCTTACCAGAAGTTGATTTCGTGCGATCAGTTTGTATGGCAGCTATATTATATAGCTATTTGCTATAGCTGCCCGATATTGGTGATTCCGACAAATGAACAACTTCTTGAAGAGGAAAATTTGTTTGCAAATCTCCAAGTCTCAAAAGCTTTAAAAATATATAAAAGAAGGATTTCTTAAAAAGCGCAAATGATCTCGCTACTAGCTGAAAGAGAAAGGTCTGTCTCAATATACAAATTATTCTATCATATCGGATTTCCTCTGCCATAAAATACAGTTACCTCATCCCACTTCGGTTATAAGCTTGACAGTCTAGAACAGGGGTGTAAAATATCATATAGATTTTGATAAACTTCTCAAAAAATAATATTTAACAACAATAAAAAGAAATCATATACTGATTCTAACGTGCTTTGCCTCAGGCATGAAAACTACTTTGGTTGATCTGAAAGGTTTTCCGAGTCAGTACGAATATTTGTAAGCAATGTAAGCTCATACTTTTTTTAGTAAATAACTTTCAATATATGCGAGTGTAGGTACAAATCTGCCAAGAAATCAATATAAACACCCAGAAACCTTAGTATTTTCTATTTTGCAGAACATTTTCTGAAAGACCATAAAGAAGTTCGAAATATATTAAACTGATATTCTGACAAAGAAGCAAGAAGTAAGTTCTTATGGAAAAATATATTAAAGGTTTGTTCCAAAAATATCGCGAGTTTTGTATTCCTTAAGAAAATGTTTATTTATTTTTAAATATCTATTTTGTCCTCTTCAAAGTAATCACCCCTAGATAGAATGCACTGATAGTTCAATTCAATATTCGAACAAAATTTTTAATAATTTTTGAACAAACCTCATATTCAATAAATATAATTACTACACACATATATCTAAACAAATATATATCTCTATGAAAAAAAAAATTTTTTTTTGGTTTTGAAAATTGTGGTATTATTTTTATCAAATTCTAAACAAGTCCATGTAATATCACCTTTCGCTCGCTTAAATCGCCCATACAAATTTAAAACCATTGATTTCTCTTGCATCCTTAAAATTCTTTGTTTCTACTGCGTCAGCTACCTACAACCATAGCAACTATTTTTCGACACACCAACACGCACACACAACTGTCATCTGAACGAACATATTTGTATTGATATTTAAATAATCCGTAGAACCGTCGTTTCTGTCAAACTGTCAAAAATATCTATTGGATTGAAGTGCAGCCCTACACACAAACACACGCACACTTGCGAGTGTTTGTTGCGCGCCCATCACTGACAGGCTACAATCAATAGTTAAGAAAGGCGAATTTCGTGTTCAGTCGGATGTCGTTTTTCAAAAATCGATAGAATTGTTACATTCTCCTTCACACAATGTGTGCTGTATGTATGTGTGTTTGTGTTATTCCGGTCTGCATAACAGCCAGGTGATTGGCATCCCAAATTCTGTCAAAAAATAATCGTTAAACATGTAGTTTACGCTTTACTTACTAATCGGGCATTCAGTGTTCAAAATTTGGATTCGTTCATTGGAAAATCCGCACAAAGCAACATGTCTGTCAAATTTGATTTCTGAGATGCTTTTAAGTATCATATTAGTCTTTAGGGGATGTATGTTGCATTCGATTTTATTCATTTGTAATCACATGTTGTGCTTATGGCTAAGAATGGAATACATATGTGCCTTATTTGCTGTTTGGTTTCCTGCGGTGACAGAAGCTGGAGATGAAAGCCGAAGCGAGTCGTCAGTACATATGGGTTGGGTGTCTATGTGTATACAATTGTTTGAGGTATAATAGAGGTTTTCCAATTGAAGGGCGAGGAAATTTTAATTAGTTATTTACAGTATGTGTGTAAAAGGTCATTCAGGATCTGGATTTTAACAGAGCATTGAACTTATTTCAAGCGTTCAACGTTATAAAGAAGAAGCATCCTTACGGCTTTTTTTTATAAATTCCTCTATTATAAATTTCCAAAATCAACTGGAGAATTAAAAAAATAAAAATTCGAGTTTACTTAGTGTTGAGCGTTAAACAATTTACTTTTGATTTTATAAAAGTAACTAGAACCCTAAATAAATATGTTTTAAAGTAAATTAAAATGCGCAGTAAACTCGAGTTTATCAAAGTGTTTACCGTTAAACACCTTACTAATAAGTTTTTTACTAAATATTTTTAAACAGCCCCCAACTTGAGCTTTTTTAGTTGCTTAGCGTTAAACTCTGTTCGTAAACATAGAGTTTACCATAAACACTTTTTTAATAAAATTGCTGTTTTGATCCTAAACTTGAGTTTTTTTTATGTGTTTAGAATTGAACACTAAACACTGTTCTTAAAACGTGGTTTAACATAAACACTGTTTATATGAAACTACTTTTTTGAGTGTTTATGGTTTTACTATGCGTATTTTGGGTTGAAAAAATCGAAAATCTCATATAGAGTTTCTTAAACACCCAAATATGCACAGCATTATGTTGGTGGTTTTAGGTGAAATTTTTTTAATAAAAATCCGGCTCTTGAATTCTCCAAGACCACACTAATTAATAGCGCTAAAAACACTTTCTGCAACAGCAACTGCTAAACCCCAGCAATTTCACTACTAATGACAGTTAACCTTTTATCGAGAATAAATCTCCTTACAACTATGCGCTAAATTACACATAACCAGCTTTTACATCTTTTTCATGTACTGAGTTTCAATTAAGAAAAGTGCTTTCTATTGGCTTACTTAACAGATTGCAACACATTTCGCACACACACATATATAGTAGCAGTTAACACTCTCTCCGTTCATTGGGCATGAAGTTCAACGTTTGTCTTTAGTGACAACAAAATCTAGACAAAAATCGAGAACTACATTAAACACATTTTTAATCTCTTTCACTCATTTCTTTACATTTCCTTTCTTTTCGTTACAGCTCGGCTTTAGTTACTGCAATTGACTTCAATCACATGTGACAACAGCAGACGATAAGCGCTAAAAAAGGATAATAATCAAAGCGAATGAATGCAGAGAGTTGGAAAATAGGCAAAACAAAATAACCGAATCGCAAAAACGAAACGAAATGTGTCGGCAGATCAGATTGTGTTGAAAACTCCTGCACACAAAGTGATAATCGTATAAAATATTGCATAGAGAAAACTACAAAGTATACACTCGTGCCACTAAAAATTGCACAGTAGTGGCAGAAAACGTAAAACAAACGGCACATACAGCACTGTTGTGTCGAATGGGAGAAAACGGTTTCAATCTCACTAAAGTACACATTTTAAGTTGGGCATAAGCGCAGGCACATCCTGTGAATTGAATGCCAACTAATCCTCTGCCAAGCAATAAAGAAACTGGAAAGCAAAACAAAAGTTACTACGCTTACACACACACACATATATAAGAAAGCTTAAAAAAAAGTTTAGAGTTTATAGTAGCAAAAGCCAACAACAAACAAACAAACAAATAAACAAAAAATAAAAATAAGAAAGGACTAAAAACGTGCAAAGAAAAAGTAAATAAAATGCCTGCCATAACAAGTGAAGCGACAAGACCCGCGCCCACCCGCTGCCTACGGCCAATCAGAGCGACAGTGCTTGCCGCAGCGACAGCAGCCGCCTCACTGCTCACATCCGCAGCCACAGTGGCAGCGGCAGCAGCAGCAGCTGCGACAACATCGCCCACAATGACAACAACTACAGCAACAGCCGGCATCGCCAGCTACAACCACAATAGCATATCAATTCAACAGTCGGATACTTTGGAGCGACGACTGCAACCAGATGTCGATACGGACACCGGAGGCGGAAGTAGAGTAGGCGTAAATGTTGATCTAACTGCCGCCGCCGCCTCCCACTCTGCTGCCGTGCTGCCCAACCGCCTCGCCACTAAGTTGCTAACCAATTTTCTGCCTGCCATCGATGCCGTCACAAATGCCAACACCAACACCAGCGCTACCATACTCACGAGCAGCAGCAGCACCATCAGTAGCAGCAGTAGTGGTATTAGCAATCGTGGCGTTGCTGTCACATATCCAACCTTCCGGCCGCCGAGTATAGAGAATCTTGTCGCAAGTTCAGCTGAGGATTTGAGCAATTTTCGTGATGTGTCCTTCGATATATTCGACGACGATGACGATTTGTTTGGCTCGCCATTGGCATTTGATGCTTCCGATAATGGCTTGTGGAATGGCCGTTTCGTGCCGCCACCACCCCGTCCGCCATTCCTAGTCGATGAGCCGGTGCTGAGTGATGGACTGACAACGTGTGATTTGTGCTCATGGGCTATGCCAACGAAGAGTACATTCATGTTCGAGGGCACAATAGGTGAGTCAAGTGGGTGGGTGGTTGGATTAGTGAGTATGTTTAGGTGCATGTGTTTGTTTCAATGCGCTTGAGAGTAAAAGTATACTGTCATTAAATGAAATTGGTTGTGTCGAGTGAAAGATATGTGCAAGTACGTTGCGTTGTATGTGAGTGCCTCGACATGCTGCTTGGTTTTGTGCGTATGTGTGTGTGTGTGAATTAAAAAAAAAAAAAAACTTACATATATGTGTGTGTATGAGCTTTGCAATCATTATCTATGCAAATGTATTAAGGTATGCAAAAAAGGGATTGCTGTTGTCAGCGCATTTGCGAAAAACGGAGACAGCAAACGGCTTTACGTGCAACCGGCATTGCCGGGGAACTTTGCAATAATAAATATATATATATGTACATATAAATCGATTTGCAGAGCTCACAAACTCACAACCAGTTATATTGGAATAATTTTCGATATGAAGCTTGCTGTGAAAATGTGCATAAATGCCTATACAAGCACATACACACTCGAGTATATGTAAAACGGGTTCAATAAATATGTATATGTTTGTTTGCATTTGAGTGTTTGTTTGTATGTATGTGTATATGAACCTGTTAGCCCTTTAACATTTTGGCCATGCATTTGGCATGAAAGCTCGTAAAGGATTTGGTTATCTCTGCTTTCCGCCGGATATGGTATACCATAACTAATTTCCGTTTATGTTTTACTTTTTTTCTATTTCGCTTGCAGAAAAAGCTTCCGAATTGGGTTGGCCCTTGACACTGATTATCGTTTCGGTGCTGTCAGCATTGCTGGGAGCGATTGTCATGGTGACGGTTGTGCGCTGCAGAAGGTGAGTTCAATTACAATTGCACATTAAGGTATATACTTTTCTAAAGTAAAACATTCGCTACCAAATTATGATATTAATCTTTTTGGGGTGACTTCATGCGCGAGCATATACCTATTATTATATATACCTATATCTATAAAAAGATATGGGTTCAAAACCAATTAAGGGGGGATTAGTTGAGAAATGTGATGCCAGTTATAAATGGAAGAGGTGAAACCAATCTAGAAATATATAAACAGGATATAGCTACACATACCCTCAAATAAAATACATGTAAGTGAAAGGATAATTGCAAGAATTAACGTTCGGGCAAGCTATAATGTCTCAAAAAGGGAACGTGTATTTGATATTGTTGTTTTAATTGACCTTTTCTATATATTTATATGCATAAGGTTTGCGTTTTGACCTGGAAAAAGCCATTCTAGCAGATACTTTTTCAGTGTTCATAATCTTTTGAAAAACATTTTTTTTTATAGTTTACGCGATTTTGATTAGTTTAGACTAATAAAAATTCTATAAAGCGCAGAGCTTCTAATATGAAAATCAAAACTTTTTGGATACCGAAAGGTTCTCTCGTTCATCACGATCAATATTTCTACTCGTACAGTTATATAAATTACTTTTAAAAGTTCCCTTCCTCAAAAGAAAAATTATGTCTTTTTTTAATCAGAGTTATTATTTCAAACTTCGCTTACAATTGTTGCGAAAAGTATTTTATTTATAAAAAAAAATATACTAACCTAAATTAAGCTTGCGCTTAAAACACTATTTCTACTTCTACCAAGCCCTCTTCTCTAACCGCACTTTTCTGCTCTTCTCTCGCTTGCAGGAAAAAACCCACGAACAACCGTAACGGTAAGTGTACTAAACTTGCTGACGACGATCCAATACCCTATATCCAACAACAACAACACCATCACCACCATCATCACAATAACCAACAACTACAATATAACCAACACCTCAACCACCATTATCCATACCAACACCAACACAACCAAAACCTCAACCAATATGTACATGAACACCACCGCCATTTGTATCCCACTGCCTACCGTAACCTACACGCACAGTATCCGTTGTCTAGCCACCATAACGCCATGACAACACACCATCACCAACAACAACAACAACAACATCAACAAATACAACAACAACAACACAAGCGATTACCTCAACCGCTGCCCATGCATTATGTCAGCAATAGTTGCTCTTCTTCGTCGCTGACGAATGACAGCCAAAGTACGCAACGCACCAGTCTATCGACTATATATCGGCCACCAAGCTACTACAGCAGCGCTACGGTACACGCTGGCACTGTGGCATTGACCAAGGCGGCACAAAAGCAAAAATTACTAAAACAACGCATTGATATGTTTACGCGTTCACTGCCACCGCCACCATCGCCACCAATGGAGACGCATCACGATGCGGTGATTGAGCGGAGGAGTTGCAGTAGCATTGCGAGTCATAGTGGCAGTAGTGGTAGTGGCAGTAGTAGAAGGGGCGATGATGAGAGCATTTGCAGTGACAGTTATGCCGAATCGTCGGTTGCTTACGAAGAGCCGACGACGCTGGAGATAGATGCGTCACCCGTCGAAGAAGCTGATATGCCCATAGTTGAAGCGGCGGTTATGGTGGCTGCGCGCAGCACTGAGAAATTCTGAGCGCGTGCTCACCTCCTCCCAAAATATCAAAATTAAAACCACACAAACCTAAAACTAAACGAAAACGAAATTGAATTAACTAAAAATTTAATGCATTTAGTTGACTGAAACTACAATAACTCTCTTCTCCCCCCTTTCTTCTCTTCACTACACATAACTTCACTTCATGTCACTTCTGTGTGTATTGCCTCTGGTACGTCGTACACACACACAACACGCAGAGACGCATGTGCAATGGTGGTCACGCAACAAGCGCACCAACGGCAGCAACAATAACAATCATTTGCGCCGCAGCAATATTTATACAGCGCATCCTGCGGATAGTGTGCGCGGCTTACAGCAGCCATCGCTATCGGCTGCCTCGTCGCTGACCACAATGACCGCAATGGGCGCATCAGCGGGACCCCTGCATTCGAACGCGGTCACACCGAATGCCACACAGCCGCCACAGCTGCCACACCAACAACAGCAGCAGCAGCAACAATACTATCACCATCCATATCAACAGCATCAAGCGTCGCTACACCGCAGCATCAGCGGTCATCAGCGTGCGCCCGATTATGAATACGAGCATGAATACCATCAACCGCAGGAACTGCAATTGCAGCTGCAACACCAACGCCAACACAGCTCGTCGCTGTCATCGCTGTCCGACACGCCAACACTACCGGTGGCGGTGGCGAACAACAATAAGTCGCGCACGTTGCAACTGCAACATCAGCCGTTGCAGCACCACCATCAGCAACAACAACAGCAACAACCACAGCAGCAAGCAGCCTACAATGTGTCCGATGGTGTGACAGTTGGCTTCGGCGCGGGTGTAGTTGGTGTCGGTGTAGGCATGAGCCGGCGCGGCGCTGGTGGCGAAATGTGTGACGAGTCGTCATGTCGTTGGCCGAATGCAACAATTGTGGTAGCCAGCTGAGTGCAAGCGTACAAATGTCGTATGCCCGCGACATTGAGCGGCGCAATGACGTTGTTACCGGTCCACCCATATCGCGACCATTATCAGCGGCAACAACAGAAGCAGCAGCAGCAGCTGCAGCGGCAACAGCGCGAAGTGGAGGCCACCGAATTTGTTTGGACGAAATCATGCAGCTCGGAGCAATTAAAGAATGATTGGATATGGCATTGAGCGCGCCAGCGGTGGGGATGTGTTGGTGAAGTGAGCGGTGAAATTTCGGTGCGCAACGCTGAGACAAAGCTTGTGCAAAATAATGCAAGCTGGTTTATGAAGCGCTCACGTTTGTAAATATTAAACAACATTCTGAGGACCTTTGTGTTGTAAGAAAGCAGATATTTTGATAAAATATAGGTCTTGTGAGAGTCTAGGTTTGACTTGAAAATTTTATCAGTGAAAGATTGCAAATGCGCTCCGAAAGTGTTATGGTCCAATCTAGTGAAATGCATACTTATTGAAAATTTCATTCTTGCAACTAGCCTCGGCTCATGTTTTCCTGTTTGAATCTGTGGTACCTTATTGACTCTCTTGTCTCGCGCTTTCGTTTTGGGAATCTGTTGTTTTAGTCAAAGAACATTTTTTAATTTATAGCGCGTTTCAGACTCGCATATCGTATGGTAAAATAATTGGTGCAATATTGCCATATTATTACAAAACCAAATATGTAGATTGAGACTTTAGTAATATCTCCAAAAACTGCCCTTGAGTCCTTCAGTTATGTTCTCGCGTGGTGCCCTATTACATATACAATAAACAAAGATCTAAAAGCTTATCATAGAAACTCTTTGAAAACGAATGTAAGTTGTCAAAAATGTAACCGTCATCTCAAGCAGTTTCGCAACGACACATGCAACAGCGGCAGCTGTCTCCTAAGCCACTCGAAAATCCAAGCACACATGTTTTCATATATTAACGAAGTAATTAACAGTTATTTAACTACAAGTCTATTTCACACACATTAAGCCTGACGCCAACTCAAGTGGTAGAGCAATTGTAGTGATTCAAATAAGATATTCTATTTATTGATTGGGCGCACCAATTGTTATAGATCTCTAGTCTGTAAACGCTTATTTATGAATTCCGGGAGAAAAGACGACAGCAGGTTTTTAATGTCAAGTATTTACAACTTTATGTTCACGCTCGTTAGTTGATATTTTTCTTTTCGTTTTCAAAACCTTTTCTAGCGCAAAATTTTCCTGGAACCTCTTCCCTACAAATCGACGCATATAAATATTTATTGGCTTAGTAGCCACCATACGCTGAGTGCTGTGTACTTACCGGGAATTGAAACGGATACTTTCACCATTGCGACGTGCTTATACGGCCAAGGCATAGAAAGTTGTACGAGTTTTTTTTCTGCTGCATTCTTGTTGTTGTCTTGATCTTTTTGTATTCCTGCCGTGCACAACAATCCACTTTAAATTGCACCCATAAGAACCGTCAAATCTCTAACAATCCCGTCTGTTTTTCGTTTTTTTCCGTTTTTCATTTTTTGCCTTTGCTCACCATCGCCACCATATCATACAAATTATCAGCAATCAAAAATTCTAAGCACACGTTCACAGTCGCAATTTAACGATGGTATCATGGCAAGACATAATCCTTAAAAATACTCCACTGGAGACAAACATACTTCAGCAACAACAGACCAATATGTGTGTGTGTGTGTGTGTATCGGCGTGCGCATGTGTTGTGTAGATGCCAATAGTCCTGCTGACTGGAAAGTAGTAACCATTGGCCGACTGGCGACACACGCTGATTTTCTAGCGCGCACATACACACGCACGTGCAGGCCTTCCGTTGTGAGTGCAGCATTCAAGAGGCAGTGAAAAAAACATAAAACAACTAAAAAAGTAACAAACGCAGCCAAGTGTTGGAAAAATAAAGAATGAGTGCTTGGCTGAAAAAAAAAAAAAAAATTGAGAAAAATAAATGTTGCAGCAGCATTTCGCTGGCGGCAGAAATGTTTCTATGTGTGTGCGTGTCTGCCAGCAATGACATCAGCATGTCAGTCACGTTTCGTCCTTTGTGAGCAGCGTCTTTCACACACATACACACACGTACACACGAGCTCACGTTTATGCACTTGTTAAGTCGCATAAGAACCCCGCTGTGAAATTAAACGATTCCTTACTGCCGGGTTTCTGCTGAACGAAAAAGGAATTCTATATACAAAAAAATAATCTGCTCCTCGTGGCGCTTGGCATTACCAAGCATTTCCAAAGGCTATGTGTTGCTTTTTATGTCAATTGCACTCATTTCCGTTAATTCTCAACCAGTTCTTTGGAAAGAAGACTAGCTCACTGCATTTCCTTCTTCATTAGCCGGTTCATTCTGCTGTCATATTTCATATCCTCGCCGAAATAAGATAAGATAACTCAATTGGCTTGTGCAGTTGAAATGTATTTCTTTGGCGCAAAACACCGTGACGAACGCAGTTTCGTGCTTGGGTTATTACAAAAACAAAACAATGAAGGGTTTCAAAATGCGGTTGCTATGTAATCTCTTATTAGATCTGCTAGAGTTTAAATTATTGGGAAGTATTTTTGCTCACATGCGAGCGAAGATTCCGTACTGAGAGTTTCTATAAGAGGTGGAAGGCTCAGAGCGTGACTTATGTACAATAAGGCTTAGCTCACACATTTTAACTGTGCGTTTTCCCACCGTAGTTTAAATGTATTTGAAATACCAAAAATTACGTTCTGGAGTTTAAAAATCAGTATTCTGAAAGACACACGAATGTCATATTTTCAAAAAAGAGTTCTTGCAACTTTGGAAGATTTACAAAAATCGCTTATCGAGCCAAACCTCTCGGAGCGCTATATTAAGCAATATCTCTTCTCTGTAAAAGCCAAATTACACACACAAGCAATTTTATATCAACTATTAAATTGTACATATTTGAGCACAAATTTTGCTGAGTGAGTAAAAATCTTAATCAACTGATAAAAAAGTGATAATTTATGGCAGTAAAAATAACAGCAACTCATGCAGTTAAACAGGACTATAAAATTATTGCATGAGTGCGTGAAAAAATCATATCAGAGCAACAAAAAAAAAATCATATTTTTATGACAAAAAAATAGACAAATGCATATTTGTACGAATATAGGGATCATAAAAAATAGTGGAAGCAGTCACAGCGAATTCCGCGGCAAGTGCTTGTAAATAAAGCGCAAAAAAATACATTTAAGCCAAAAATAAATATAGGCAAAAGAAACATGTTGCCACAAATTGATAACGAAAAAATTAATTAAAACTAGAAAAAAATTAGTCCAACACAATCAAAGGTTGTTTTGTAAAAAAAAAATTCAAAATAATTTTGAAAAACTAAATTTTTTATGCTAAATTTACTAGAGTGTCAAAAATTAGTGGCAGAAAAATAAATAAATCAATGATAGTAACCCAAAATGTTATTATGGGCAAACCAAATTGTCAAAACCGCCAACAGCGTTGCAAAAAAAATTAAAAAAAAAATTATTAAAAATTTGTTTCCAAATAGCTAACAGCGTTGTAAAAAAAAACATTAAAAAATTTATTAAAAATTTATTAGGAAAAAACAATGTTTTTTACGTCCATTAAGTTGGTTGCGAGTAAATAAATACGTCAAATGTAAACTACATTCATAAATAACACAGAAAATTTTTTTTTTTAATTGTAAATTTGTTTGAAAAAATTATGTAAATTTGTTTGAAAGAAAATTGTAAATTTGTTTGAAAAAAATTTTATCAGCACTAAATTTTCTTGTGCGCAAAAATATCTGAAAACACAGCAGCACTATAGCGTGCGATTTTTTTTCCAATACTCTTAATAATTTGTATATGTAAAACACAGCACGCAATTTTTAAACTATTTCAAAGCGTGTACAACTTTTATTTTGACTTTTTGCCTAGAATTTAGCGCCACTACGCCTGTGTGCAGCGCTCCTATTAATACTTGTGTACTATATAAGTAGGTACTTAAATGTTGTGTAGAAACCATTTTTTCATGCTACAAACTGTTTGTAAATATTTTTTTTATTTTCCTCAACTAGCTGTAAGTGACGTGTATTTTTGTTGTAAATAACTGATAACTGTATAAAAAAAAAGTAGTTATAAGTAAATAACGGTAAAGAAACTTCCAAAATAATATCATGAAAAATGCAAAGTGCATTGCAAGTACATTATATATATATATATATATAGTATATATAAAATTTACATCTATAAGTAATTAAGCGTAGAGCTTTAATGCTGTTAAGGGCTTAGTACACTGCTGAGCCAAACAGCAGCAAGCGAAATGTCCAAAATCATCACTTCAACTAATGTAGCATGTATCTAAATAAATTTACGTTTAGTGTGTTTGTAATAGCGGCTAAGTAAAACTATTGTAACTAATTACTAAGTATTTCATCAGAGTGATATTTATTATGGTAAGCTTGGTCATGACTGCCTTCCACAAAAACAAAGGTCATGACAAAAGTGTATTTCATTAGTAGGAACTATTTAAACTATAACCAAAACACAAACATTCCTTTTCAAGAGTTCAACAAGCATACAACCACTACTATTACTACATACATAACGAAATTAAGCTAATTCTATTTGTTTAACTAAGCAATTACACACACACACACATGCACATACGCGAGCTTAAGCGCAGTCAACTCACACGTGTGTGTGTGTGTATGTGTGTGTCTCAAGTACAACACCGCAAAGCATTAAGTAAATGTAGTAATTTCGCTTGTAATTAGTTGAAAATTGTACAACTACAACAACAGCAACAATTAACAATAAATAGTAATACATACACACACACACACACACACTGACAGACAGACACAGACTCATACACGAAACTACAATTGCAACTGATGCTACCAAAGACTAGTCCTAATAAATGTAAGAATCTAGGCGCCGATTAATTGTCGAATGAATAATACAACAATAGGAGCACACATATACATACAAGCATACATATGTATGTGTTTATACATAAAACATATACTGGCATGTAAAAGCATGTAATGTAGTTAAATCGTACACTTCGGCAAACAAACCGAGGAAAGCAAACAAACACTTGTGTATATACATACAAACATACAAAATACATGCATACATACATACATACATACATATGTAGATACCAACAGAGCATACAAATTATGTGCATCCGTAAGCGAGTGCAGTGTACTTACATAAGTAATAAGTTTACCAATAAATACCTATACATATATACATATACATACATACCTACATAAGCAAGCAAAAGCAAGCAACAACAAACTAAATTAATGTGTAACTGTAAATGTATATTTGTAGTCCTTAAATGAATTTAACTAATTGCAATAATAAATATTTTAAATATTATATAAATAACGGCATTACATCAATAACTACTACCAATGCGTTTCAACCTTCAAACACACACACACATACACACTGACACGCAAACGCACACAAACATAGCAAATTTTTAAACACTCCTAGAAGCCTCTTTCGTTTCATTGCAGCGTCGTAGAGCTAAAGCAATTCGTAATTATACACTTCGGCACGCTTACACACACACATACACTTACAAGTATACTTATGTACAATAAATGCAAATTCAATCATTACAATTTAACGGTAAAATTTGTAAAGAATACGAAAACTAAAAAATCTTTTGAAAATTGCAAGCATTAACGGTACTTAGTATTGCAGCGCATGCAAAGCGTATAGCGTGATGAAAGTGTAAAAAAGCGTTAAAAAAACAAAAACAAAAATGAAAACACTAAAAAAAATAGAAATTACAAAAATGGAAAAAATAAGCAATCTAATGTTTCAACTAATGTAAACTATCAGCAACTGAAAATGTTTCCTTTTTGTGTGAGTTACCACTACATAAATACATAATATTCCGTATATAGTACATAAATACCTACTAAAAATGCATACAGTACATAGTTATATGGATGAAATCAAATCTAATTCGATATTTAAAGCAAATAAATACTTGAAAAGAAAATATGAAATTATTAAAATTCAACTAAGTAAAATAAAGCTAAAAAGAGAATCTTCAAAAAAAAAATAAAATAAACTCGTTTTTTTATTTTTACTGTAAAAAGACAAGGGTAGTTTGTTGGTATTGCCGTGGTTTGTGTGGAAGAAAGAATTTTCTCAAATTCCTAAATTTCATAGAATAACAACCAAAAGAGCGTCATCGAGTAAGCTTTTGGGATGTATGAGGCTTTTAACAAGAGTGTGGTAAGTATGAAAAACTGTTATTATAAAATGACATGAGCAAATCACATATTGAGCTGACATGAGATAATCATTATTAGCCATTAGAAGATAACTTTCGAGTTGAAAAATAATTAGTTTAGATTTATAGGACCTGGAGCTGAATTCTCAATTCAATACTTATCGCCAATGTAAAGGCCACTTAGTATAGTTGTGTTTGAATAACAGGTAAGTATTTATAACGCGTTCCAAAAATAACGTTTTCGTTTTCTGAAGTGTACATAGCGTTTATTGTGAAAATGTTGTAATTATAGAAAACACATTGTTTTATTATAGCTGACGTTTATTCAATACTAGCTCCAATCTTTCGCGTTCTCTATTATAACTTTACACATTTGATGGCCACTTGTAACTAAATTTTTCGCATATTCCACAAGAAACGGCCGCCAAGTATGTTAACGTTAAATGTTTTCTTGATATTTTGGCTTTTATCAAAGCCCAAACATTCTCTATTGTTTTGGCGTCTGGTGACTGTGAAGCCCATTCTAAAGCATCAATATTTTTTCCTTCTTTCCATTGAGTACAGAGTTTGATCCTCCGATGTTCCGAAACATTGTCTTCTTGCAGTATCCAAACATAGTTATTTTTGAAGTAAAGCATTTCAGCTGACTTCAGTAAACCCTCTTTATACACTTTTAACATTCTAACGGCGTTCAGGTTTACTGTGAAGCAGCTCAAAACCCCAAAACCATGGGCAGAGAAGCATCCACAAGCATGCACCTTTTGGGGATGCTTAACTATGCTTTGATTAAATGTTTATCATTTGCATAGCCAAGTACGTCTCAAGAGGTCGAACAATGCAAAAAGTTACTGCGCCAATCACGATTGATATGTTCCTGCGCTCACTATAATCTTTTTTCAATGTGTGTTTTGAAAGTATGTGTTTAATTACAGTATTTTATATTATCTGAAGTCTAAACCATATTGTATATAGAGATATATCTAATCACTTTTTTTTTGGTTATCTTAGACTTATCTTAGACTCAGCAATGGTTTCTTTTCAAAAATGAGAAAAATAGCTATGTTCTTACTAGAACTCATGTGAATTCTCCCTCTTCCGGTCTTGTCACCTACGTTTCCAGTCTACCTATGCTAGCAGATTACATAAAACGCTATAAAAACAACCTCGATGTCACCGTTTGTAATATTTTAAGTATCTGCAAGCACTGAGAAATGTGGAACAATGAATTCTGTTCACTTCGAAGTTACTATATACCATCGCTAGGAAAGCTGCTTTGTAGTTTCGTAAAAGCACGTGACATTTGAGGTAAAGCTTTAAAAAGATTTAAAATCGAACCACAAAAATTTTCAGTTAAGTGACTATAACTACCATAACTATAAACGGGGAATTAAATTGAAAATCCATAATTAAACTTTTTAAAATGTAGTTGTGTAAATAATGCGGCAAAACTCATAATAAAGTTGTTGTAAGTAGATGTCAATAGCGTTAGGATTATGAAAGATACATAAATAATTCTTATTTACGCTTACGTAAATCCAACAGTCCAACATCTCAATACATACATATAAACTTGCCAGCAGCACACAATCTTATCAGCGATCAGCAATCGCCTGAAATTCCGACTTAATTCAACCCACTCAGCCAACATAAATCTTCATCGACACGTGTGAAGCAGGAAGTGAATGTGAATTTTCAGCTGTCATTTCTTGTCAACTAAAATTATTTATGTATTTCAATACGTAATTATACGATTTCGCCATCTTAAGATCTTTCGCACGTTCACAGATCGAAAATCGATAAAGCTGGCCCGCTTTTATTAATAAAAGAAAATGTTGACACTTTGCTGCCCACTCTCACAGCAAATGCATAAATACGAATGTGTGGTATGCACCTAAATGATCTGCTACAAACGAGCACAAGTATCTAAGTGTGTGCTTGAGTGGCTGACAGTGTGAATGAGCGCCGTTTGCGCGTTCGTGCAACGTCAAGCGATCGTACGCTTCAATTGATCACGCAACGCGCACTAATAGCACTACTATACTTGTACATATGTAATATGTAGTGTCTGTATGCACACGCGACGGCGAAAGTCGATCATGCGCATTGACAGCGGTTGCTGTAGTTGCCTCTGGCAGCAATTAATTAGCGCGCAACCAAGTTGCAAACCATTAGCAATTGCACAAACCAGTGATCGTGAGTGAGTTGCGCGAAATGAGACATCATGATTTCCTCATGTCGAGTGGCATTTGAGTTAACAGCGAAATGACAACAACAACAACAGCAACCGAAACAGCGATGACAGGCTGTATTTTGGCATCGACAATGACGATTTGTCAATTAAATTTTTGCCATTTAATCGCACGTTTGCCACATTTGGCTTGAGTTTTGCATTTCACCTCCGATTTGACTATTTCACCATTTATTTATTTTTTGTGTTTAAGCACAGCAAATGAGCGCGCTGCTGTTACTTTGCTTTAATGTAGACAAAATTAAATTGCATGCACTCTGCTGTGTGTCATGACGACATGGCAACTTACTAATTCATCGCCGCTACATTTTCGCCATGCTTGCCGCTGATTTGACTACCAAAGTGCAGCAGTGCCACATCGGACGGCTTTTCACCAGATTGGTGATGGCGACAGCGACATACTCGTGCTGCCATAAGTGCATAGGTGCACTCCACCAGGAGTGCTTCGCTGGAGCGCCGCATTGATGGCCTGTTGTTGACGGCGACTGTGTTGCATGCAGAGATGCACAACTGCTGATGAGTGTAGGACGTCTTCATCAGCATTGGGCTGAGTAGGCTGCCGCTGCAATGTGCATACATGTGTTGTTGCAATGTATGTCAGAGTAGCAGCAATTGCTGTGCCACAAACACAACTTCAGTCGCAGCTACAGCATTGCGCCTCCAGCCATAGGCGTCGCTCAATCTAACTTTGCTTTGCTGTCTACGCCGTAGCGCATGTTGTTGTTTTGCTGGCTGCTGCTGCTACTCCAGCCGTCTGTTGTTGATCATCGTTTTTCGCTGTAGTCAAATTGACATTGTCGTGAGCAGTTGATTTTTGATTGCTGTGTTGTTGTCACCATTGCTGGCTTTAAATTCAATTTAATGTTCACCCAACAATTCGAAATTGACTTTCGTTTACCGATCTGCACTTTACAATGTGTGTCAGCGTTTTTCGTTTAAATGTACACCCGACTTTACACACATATGTATATATATATATATAATAGTTATAGTTGTCCGCTTTACTTTATTTTCACAGTCATTGTTAAGTATATGTTAGAAAACAGTTCTGCAAAATTAGGAGCACTTAGCTTTAAAGTAAAGGAAGGCAACCGGTAAATAAAATAACTGAATAATCGGTTGTATGGGAGATATTTGATATAGTAGTCCGCTACAAAATGCATTTATGTATTTATTAAATTTCATTCGTATATCTCAAAAACTGACGAAGAAGTTTTTGTAACCCCGAAAAATTAAACTTCACCTTAAAAATCGCTGGCTCGAAAACGGTTTTAGACCCATATTCTCTTAGCCAAAGTTGTTCGGAATAATCCGTAGAACACTTCCCGTATACGCAGTTTTTTTTTAGAAAAAAATCGATACGCTCTAATACCATATGCGTGTGTTCTGTTTTTAAATTTGAACATCTATTTAAGAAAAGCTTCAGCTTCATGATATTTGCCATTTTCAGAGTCCAGATTGTCATGGCATGGAGAAGTACAGACCACACAAAGCATTTAAAAACCGGAATTTGATTGGAATGTTGAAGTCATGCATATGACTAAAGGGTTAAATACCATTGCAATCAGTACAACAAGAAAAACTTGGTATTCTCTTAACGACCTATACTCAGCGGTGGCTTTGAGTTACAATGAGCGCAACAATGACAATTTTTCAAACCGAAGGCTATGCGTAAACATTTTTCAAAATAATATTTTTAATAATTTTTCACTCAGTAACCCGAAAGAAGTCAATAAATTAACGAAGTGCTGTTATATGGCCAATACTTATGACCTTTAAAAATTTTCAGAGCAGATAATTAAAAATGCGGAAAGCATTGGTCAGTCAATTGTTCCAAGTTACCATATTAATACTGTACCCTTATGATGTGCACGTGTCTACTGTCACCCACACTCATACGAGTGGCACGCATAACGGCATGTGAACACAAACGACCCACTTGAGTGATATGAAAAATGTATATTTTGCAAAAATTAGTGCATTCTAATTTAAATAAATTATGGAGCAGAGCGAATAACAACAGGGCCCACACCTCCGCTTCACCCGTAATGCCAGCGCTTGAGCCTGCGCTTGCGCCAACGGTTGTATGCAAATTGCTTTGAGCGCGCCCCTTAATGTCAGCGGTGCTAATGAAGTCATAAAACCACACGACATTTTACCTGCCGCGGCAGCCAACAATCGCCGTGACTACATCGTACCACCGCACTGCCAGCACATACATATATGTTTGTATGTATGTACGTACCTATGTGTATTGGGTCTTATGCGCGCTGAATGGTAGGGGGTTCCTCAGAGGCAAATCAGTTGGCAGCTTTCGCGCTGATTTGCTTGACAATCAGTCGCCTTCGCCAACACCCTCCTCACTCTCCTCCCATCGCGGCAACAATGGAGCGCGCTCCTGTTAACTCTTTGTTATCGACACTGTTGGAGGCGACTGACTACATCCTTATTGTGCATACACATATACATACACTCATATATTCATATGGTTTGATTGTGCATATGTACAGTTGCATGATTGTCTGTCTGTCATTGTGTGTGTGCGCGTGGAAGTGGGTGCG